GTTCCGACTGAGAGCTTGCTCAACTTTGGAGCACAGAGCAAAAAGGGGTCGGGCTTAGGAAGGGTCGATGTTTTAATTGGGACTGTGCCAATATTCTTGGAGAATTGCTGTGCGTAGTTTCGCCTAAGGGGATTGGCGTTGGATTTAATGTTAAAGGTGAGTAGGAAAAAAATCAATTGGCGGAAACGGACTTCTGCGACAACATATTGGGCCAGAAGTGCTCTGGGAGTTTCTTTCCTTCGGCAAAAAACGTGTATCAGCTGACATTTCTTATTTTAAGGTTTTTCCACAATCGATGTTGCCTCACTGCCTTCTAAACAGCACATCGAAGTTACCACTGTGTTTGGCCCATATTTTTGCCTTGTTTCAGATGCAGATTCGTAAAAGCATGTTTGGCCAAAAATTGTCAGCAGTTTGAAAATACAGCTTAAAACACAGATAAGAAGCTGGTAGGCGATAAAAGTTAGTTGTGGCGAGCTGTTAGGGTTAGTTAAAAACGGAAAAAAACAGCACAGTACTCAGTATATATGAGTTGGTTTTATGAATGATTATCAAAATAGTTGTTTTGAAAAAAAAATTTTTGCCTTTTCAAATGTTGTCCTTTGTGGACGTGGCTTGTTTTTTTTTTGCTATCGGTGAGGGGCTGTTGAAACCTGCCCTCTATAATTTAAATATGTGAGTAGTTTCAGCATCAACTATGGTACATGCATGACCTTGATCTCAAGAATGTAGTCCAGAAACAGGATAGGTGCAAAGGGTTTGGCGTTGTCACAGACACAGGCCAGTGCAGGAGGCAGAGGGGTCGCTCCAGCTATCGGAAGGTTTGTTTGTTCGATCCCCGGCTCCTGCACACATGTCCTTAAGCAAGATACTGAACCCCAAATTGCTCCCGATGCTGTGCATCACAGTGAATGTGTGTGAATGGGTGAATGTGGATGTAAAAGCGCTTTGAGTGGTCGAAAGACTAGACAGGCGCTATACAAGTACAGGTCCATTTACACATCTACACACCTACACACAAAAACACAAGGACTGAGACCTGGTGGCACAGAGGTCATGCTGGCCTGGCAGAATGTGATTACCTTTGCCTCCCGTCCCCTGGCCTCCAGGTTTATTGTAGAGATAGATATCACCGTCCGGCAAGTTGCTGCTCAAATGAAAGTAGTGCTGCAGACAGAACAGGAGAGCAAATCAGTCCCTGGAAGCTCAAACCACACAAGTCAGAATTTATTTCAAAACATCACAATGAGACTTGTCAAAATGATTTTAATTTTGCAGAGCTGGGATCTTGGATTTATTCATTTTTAATCCTGATCAGTTTAAACAGAGCTGTTTGTAGAGCACTTGCATATGACAAACTGTCATCTATCAGTGCAGGGAGCCATTTTTGATTTGCAAGCAAAAATGTCTTACACAAATCATTCAAAGTAGTTGGAGGACTTAGAAAAATCAGGCTGACTGTTTTAGTTTTTTTATTACCCACGCTTTTCACTGCTGCTAAGACACTGGGCACACCGTAACAGTTTTTAGGATTATGTGTGAGTGAGAGCTATCAGAAACCCTCTTGTGATGAGTGATTTGAACAGTTGGTCCACAGATGAAATGGGAAACTCTTTCAGAAAATAGAAAAATAGATGTTTATTTTTTAACTTCGAGCAGATGCAGCAGGGGTGCTTCCAGACTTTTTTGACTGAGGTGGCACAAGTGGGTCACTGACTTATGCAGTGGTGGCATGAAGTATGTGTGTCACATTTCTGTCATTCCCAAATTTCTGCAATTCCACCACTGTTTATGGAGCCCAGCTAAAATATTCAAATACACAAAAACTATTGTGTATTTTTTACACCACATACAAAAAACTGCATGGTTTTTGCCCCAAACTGCATGGGATTAGCATAAAGTGGGCATGTCTACAAAAGGAAGAATTGTGGGTACCCACTGAACTCATTTTTATTCAGGTATCTTGAGGTCAGAGGTCACAGGATGAGAAAATAGTCATGCCAGTTTTAGCATCACCAAAACTTAACTTTGAAGAGTTCCCCTCCCCCTGGACATGAGCCTGGGAGGCAGGCTAGCTGTACATTGTCAGTATGATTTTTTTATTTTTTACAAAGTAGTTTGAACTATTTTTGTAAGTAGCTTTACTTAATCAAACTAGATTGCACCCTAGGTTATAGTTCAACTTCTTCCAGTGTGAAGTCATTGGTAGCTTATAAAGCTATGCTTTCAAGTTGGCTTCCCCGTCACTGGCTATCATAGACTATTATCTGTGTTCGATCTACTTTTATATAACCCCGCTCTAATGGGGTATAAGCTGCTCCACTAAAGACACATAACAGTTAGCACTCAATAGTACAAATATGTACCTGGAATATTGTTCAGTACAGCATGTTTCAGGCTAGCTAGTGTGTTAACAGCATTGACAGTATATATATAATGGACAGAGCTTTAGGGTCTGTGAAGGAAGTCAACACCAAAGTGTCTTAAATCTGAATTCTATGTAATGGCCAGCAGGAGGAGCTCCAGAAATGAGTTTATCTGGAATACGAGATTGTGTGTGACCAGGCGAGCCACTATTGTTTCCTGCTACGGATGAGTTGAAACTGCACAGCCAAGAGAGCAGCTCACCTCCCAGTACATCACCTCTGATGACCATAATGCCAAACTCAAGGCTTCAAAATGGTACTCAACAACCCAATGGGAGACACTATTAAAGGCCTCTACACACCAACC